CCAAATACTTATTTTTTCCCCCGTAGCGTACAATAAGCAGCTATGTTCGTTAATTCTGCGAAATGTGTTTTTTCCACCTGGGCCGTTGCCCACAGACATATCAAGAGGCCTGAAGGTTTTCCCGACCCCATTAGAAAAGTTCTTGACAGGCTTTTAGACACTTCAAGGCATTGTAAAGGGCACTTTAGACATTTCAGGAGAGCCTCTGACGGGGCCAGTGAACCCACCAGGAAATATCGGTGCCCCCGTCAAACATCTCAGAAATTCTTGAAGTCCCTTCAAACCCTTTAAAAAAATCCTGAAGTCCCATCAGAGCGATTTTCAATAGGGATGGAGTAGGTAGGGAAAGAAGCGGCAAATGGCCACGGTCCAAGGCGCGCATTAGCGGGACTCGACCCGGCCCCAGGTAGACCCAATCCCGAAGTCTCATACGACGAAGCTTTTGAGGCAAGAAGATTAGGCAGGATAGAATTTCCTGGCCCGGTCAATAGACTGATGAAGGAGGAAGAATGGGTGTGGCGAAGACTTCAAACAGACACGTTCGTGACGCCAGTCAAACTTCACCTGTGGTACCCGGAGAGCTACACTACGGCGGACTGCCCTTTCTGTGGTACGCACCGGGCGGACATTTACTGCATGGCTTGGCTGTGAAAAGAGGTGCCAGGACTGGTTCCGATGGAGACCCGCATCCCGGCGATCGCAATTTCAATGTGATCCTCCAGCTTCTCGTAGGGATTTCTAATTAAGATTTCAGATTTTTCCGGTGCGCATTTCATCCCTCAACTTACGGCATATTTCTCATATTTATATAGCCCAGAGTCCAGGAGTGGGAAGCGGGACTAAGGTGCGAGGCGGCCAGCACGCAGAAGCGGCTGGTAGCCAGGGCACTGCAGATTCAAGCCGCAACTGTTGCCCCAGCAGAATAGGGGCACACAACCACTCCACTTCTTTCTTTTAGAGCGCAGCTCTTAGGCGCCCGTTTCCAGCTTGAGCGGCGTCAGCGTCGCCCGCGCGGTGCATTATGGGAAACGTCCCATAATGCAACCCGCGGTTACGCCGAAATGTACGTCCCATAATGCACCGCGCGGTTACGCTGAAACGCCCCATAATGCAACGCGCGGTTCATAAGTGAGACCCGCGCGTTGCATTATGGGACGTTTCCCATAATGACGTCACACGTGACGTCACGAGCGACGTCACGAGGGTCCCGCGCGTGGGAATATGGGAAACGTCCCATCATGCAACGCGTGGGTCTCACTCGTGACCCGGGCGTTTCCCCCGTACACTCCCCTCAACCTCCTTAAGAGCTGCGCTCGAATTCGGTATTACAGGGAGTTAGTGTAAACGCACGGGGCGAGACTGACTCCGGTTCGCCACGTGGAGCACCTTTTCTAGCCCCGTGAGTTTCTGGAATTTTGGGTGTAGAACTTTCGGCATGTAGAACATTCGAAACGCGATCAGACGGTAACGTTCTCGAACTTACAAGAACGCCAAGTTGACAGGATAAATAAAAGAGCATTGCGCTCCCTGGAATCAAACCTGGTACGTCCTCGCGACAGCCGAGCGCGGTAACCACTCGGCCACACGCGCTGCACTATTAGCGGCGAGAATTTATGGTGGCGCCCTCCTACGGTTCCCCCTTGTGACGTCATTACCTTGCACACAACAAGTTCGATGGTGTTTGTAAATAGCATGGTGGAAGCTTGAAATCATTGCGCTCTCAAAGGAACACTTCCAACACCGTCAAAATTAAAGTTCTTTCATTCCTCTTACTTCCGTCGATGATATACCCTTTCCGACGTCATAAGTCAGCGTTCGGCCAATCGTGGAAGGCCGACCACAGCGACGCTTTCGGTCGCGCTCGTCGACAATAATCATCTAGAAGAACCGCACTGCGCAAGTTAAGTTTGGTTGTCCTTTAATAAAAAATAAACCCTTGTTCACAAAAAAAAAAGTAAGAAAAAAATCGCTTTTTGGGAAGACGGGAACGAACCACGCTTCTTCCTGTAAGTAGGCCGGAGCGAAGCGGCCAAAATAGAGGAGCCTGGGGTACCTCTTCAGAAGGAATCAAATCGCTAAAGGAAGGGTAGGGTCTCAGCCACCACATCGAGCTGCGGTGGAATGCATAAACAACCCCTCACTTGAGGGCCGTAAAAGAGCGCGCCTGTCTTTTCTAGTCGGGCTTGGGAACGGGTTATTAACCATTTATTTGTACGGACAATAACGCGGTGATTAACCATTTGTACGGACGATTCACAAGAAAAGAAAAAAAAACGGCTTTGTGTGGTGGTGATCACCTTCTGAAGAGGTTGAGGGGGCTGGGTGGGGAGAGGAGAGTCGGGAGTTCGTTTCTGGACAGTGCAGTTCTGCTTAACCAAATTCACACCAGGTCGTCAAGAGAACCGACTATAACACAGTCTCACACATGAAGGGGGGCGTCGGAGACCGCCCAGTCACTGCCAGCCTCGGCTTTTCCTTCACACGTAACATTCCGTGCACATGATTGGGAGCTCGCCACCTACACCCCCTTTCATTATGTCATAGCTGGCTGATATTTGTCAAGAAAATGACAAAGAATATTAGGAAATTTCTTGCATACAGGATATTGATCACGGCCGTCCATCTAGTGGGAAGAGGAAAATAGTAACCACTGACGTCTGTGATTATTCGGGCAACTCTTGTCCCAGTCCTCATGAGCAACCTCCCGCTTTAAAAATGCAGCTTGTCAAAGAATCCGCCCTCAACTGATATCTTACATATATGCCGATTTTAAATAACGACGGATGTTTCCTGGTACAACTAAATTCAATCAGGAGAATGCAAGTCCCTGACAGATTGCTTTTTGTTGAACTCTGGAATAGAGGAAACACACCACGCGCATATCGAGAGCTAAGCTGTATTTTTAGGTTTAGGACTTTTAAGTTACTGAGAGTGAATTCCTTAGCTTTTTCAAGCTGGGGTTTCCACGTTCGTACACTCATTTTGGAGCTGTCTGCCCTTCTCACTTTTTATATTTTCTGAATTGCGAAAAGATAGACTGCAAAACTAAAATATAACTGGGAGTGCGCGAAAAGTAGGTCGATCGGTCATTGAACTGCACCTTATTTTATTCAAAGTCTCGAGACACACTTTGGCTTTAGTGAGTTGGGCAAAGCCTGACTCCTTGTGTTTTTAAGACATTTTCATTGAAATTCTATAGTATTTTTTGCAGTTCTTGTTTGTTAGTGAATATCCCTATCGCGAAATGTGAAAAGTAAAAAAAAAAAAAAAAAAGAATAGTGGTTCCTTTGTGTGCGGCAAGCCGCTGGTTCCGCAACGTCTGTACCTGGGTCACGATTTGTAAGAGTTTTGTATCCGCGCATTTTGTTACTGGAATCGAGAGCCGTCCTATTCTTTAACAGCGGAATTTTTACACAGGCGACTAGAACTGCAAGTAAACTTTTGTTTAAAAAAAGAACCATAAATAGGTTGTAAAAATGATGCTGGTGATCTTGTGTTAGAATGCGTGACTGTTAAACATGGACGTATAAATGCAGAGCTTATTTTTGGACATTACACTAGTGTCGTTCCTTTTCTTTTTCCTGATTTTAAAATACTGAAAGTTCCCTAACGTGCCTTTATCTTCTCTGTAATTCTTGTTATGAGAAAGTTCTGTGGACAACTCAATGTGATGAGCCATTCTTTGACGATGGGGATAGGCTCTAGTCCCTCCATGCTTTTACCGCGTCTTTGTTGTGCTTCTCCGACCCTTCGATACTGAAAAGGGGGGGGGGGGGGGGGGCGCCGGTACAGTCTTTAGAGGGGGGGACACTTGCACATGGTATCCCCCCTCGTGAAACACAGGGGGGGGGGGCAGGAGACCCCTGTGTTTAACGTCAAACTTCTATACGTACATTGGCATTGATTAATCTAGGTGATGTTGAATCGACTGCGTTGCAGTATTTTGTGAATGCTTACAAATATCATAAGGTGAAGTTTTCATTAACCTAAACTCCGCTCATTTTTCTTTACCTTCCCATATTTAAGACTGTTGAAGGCGATTTCAGTCAATTCTACGATCACGTCAGATACCTTTAGAAGTACTAACGTTAGAAAAATGTGTATGGCGTAAATCATATTTAGTCGACAGTTTACGTATGGCAAGGCATAGCATTCGACATTTCTGGTCCGTATGCTGTTGTCAACTTTGTAACTGGTTGAATGACCAACACTGTTCTGCCACGCACAATTTTGTTCTATTTTCTCCTTAGCAACCACGGAAAACATATCGGGTAAGCAACTTCTAAATCCACTAAAAGTCGCCTGAGACGCGTCCGTGCTGAAACCTTAAATTCTGAGAGTGCTGTTTGGGGTATTTAGATAGGCTTCTAAAATATAAAAAAAAGTATTCAATCACTACTACGAGGCCATAAAAATTTCTATCCTATCTTTTTTTTTTTAAAGCAAGTGGAGTTTGTTGGTATGAACAGTTCTATCTGTCCAAAATACCGGAACGCTCAGCAAAAATGTAATATTTTTTAATCCGAGTTCTTGAGGAGTGCTAAGTGGATTCCGTCGCGATTAGACGACAGCAAAAGAACCGCCGTCGTAAAATGCACCCTGCAGAAGAAGAAAAAATGTGGATCTTAAAATATTTGGGGAGTTAACTTTGGACTCCGGGAGCCCAGAATGCGTGGCCTGTTTGAAGCTGCGAGCGGAGTTAGCGTACTTTTTCTCAGCCTGTCATTCATATAAAAGGCGTACAACGAGTGCAGCAGGTCTTACGGACGCTCAGCAAACGAAACGAAATTTACACGCCAAATTTAGCGGGGAAAATTGTTTTTTTCACCCGTTACACTTCCGTTACGCATGTTACACTTTCGTTACAGCTGTAATGCGCTGCCGTATACGCCTGCCGCACTTCCGTACACGTTTCTTGGGCTGCACGTGACTTGGAGCATGAATGGCCTTCCGGAATCGCTACTATCCTAAACCCGTTCGCGTTCTCTGTCAACCCGCAGCCGAGTGCGCTGTGACGGAGTGGTCCAAGTTCGGCTCGTGCAGCGTGACGTGCGGCCAAGGCGTCCGGACTCGCACCCGAAGCTTCCTGATGCGGGACAAGGCGTTCATGTTCAACTGCAAGACTCAGCTCGTCGACAGGGACGTCTGTGAGATTGACTGCTCGGGGTGTGTATAATATCGCCAGCTCGTGCGCCGGAAGCTTCTCATGCTATGCACATTTTGTACGAGTTTGACCGCAGCCCGTGCGCTACGCGGAGCGCAAGATCGTGTGCTTCTTGCGCAGGGGATTGCGGTGACTTCGGAACGCCGAGGTCTGATTGCCTCCGCTTGGAAGGAGAGTGGCGAGCGGCGTCTTGAATCGATATCTACCCGCTATCCTAGCCAATCAGAGCTCGGAGTTTTGATGTCACTGCCGAACGTGTATTGTAACGGCGCTCGTCGTCCTTTTTAGACTTAGGCTAGGTGGCGCAAGCTACCGCCCGTTACAAAGGGTATAGCCATTAACATCCATCCATCCATCCTTGCGGGTTTGCTATCACCGGCTAAAATAATCACGAAGAGAAAAAAAAAAGCGCAGGATCGCGGCGCATTTACTGCGCGTGATTGGTCTAGTCAGTGATATCGAGCGCACGAAGGAAGGGGTGAACGCCGTACGTGGCGATGCACTGTAGGCGCTGCTTGATTTGATAATCGCAGCAACCACGCGATCACGTAACCCATAGGAGTGCCAGCAGCGTGATCACATGGCCGATACTGGCACTAACCATTTGACCACGTGACTCACAGTTTCACCGACCACGTGACCAACAGTGGCCCAAACCACGTGACAATGATACGTATCCTGAGTCTATAGGTACGACGACTTTATCAAGTTTGACCAAAGGGCTCTCCGCATTGTCTCTGTTTCGTCGACATGGCAAAGTTTGAACTTAAGTGAAACTAAAGCGGTTTCGTATTTGAGAGAGGAAAAGGAGAACACACTTAGATAGCCTCCATTTGGCCTCCAGGATCACGCATATCAAATTTCTATTTTAATCTGATCCGTCAAGTAGGCATAACATCATTTTCAAAATATAGCGCTGAAGCCCCCCCTTCCCCGCATGTCGGAATGAAACGAAGTGTACGGCGTGCCAGTTGGTCTGTTTCTTGCATAGGGGTTGCGTTGATGTCAGAACACCGAACTATTGTTGGCTCATTGAAAACAAATCGTGGGTAGACGTCAAGGTGTCTAGTATGGATGTCTATCCTTCCAATGGAAGCCAATCAGAGCTCGGCGTCGTTCTGACGTCACCGCAACTCCTGCGCAGGAAGCAGACGACTTGCCTTCCGCATAGTTACTGAAGGCCTAAGAAACGCAGGGTGTGGCAAAGCATCTCATTCTCACTCCTCAGCCAATGAGATAGCGGTATTCGCCGATTAAAGTGCCAAATAGCGAATCGTGTAGCAACGCGTGAACACATTAAGCCCCGAGTTTATTAACCTCTCGGCAACTAAGTCACTGACAGCTTAAGACACGCAGAGCGTGGCGAGGGCCGAGACATCTTATGATCCGATCCGAAGCCAATATCAGGTTGTGGGCGTCAGTCGGTACGGACGTTCAAGGACCAATTTCGACCAAGAAGCGTGAACGCAGTTACGTCACGCCCGGCGTTTCTGGAGTTGTCGGTGACGATTTAGAGCTTCGGGGCGCAGCCGTCAGCCCGAATACTCCGCGTCATCCTGCAAAAACGGTTCGACCAATGAGAGGAGCGAGCGGTGCCGGGCCACGGTAAACATTGAGTCTTATGGGCAACCTTGCAATGCTGGTTGGGTTAGTGGCGCCATTTATTGACTGAAGCAAGAAATGCTGGGTAGGCCAGGACGCCGTGGGCGTATGTAACATGACAGTACGGAGGAAGCTACGGCGCCCTGCAGGCCAATCCGAACAACGTAGTGAGGCACGCGATCATGTATCGCCGGAGTGCGCTTTCACGGGCCGTGGCCGGCTGGCTGTACACCTTTCCCACGCTCGTCATTCGCGGGCCGAAAATGCTTAGTCATCGGGTTGTGAACGTATGTGCAGGCTCTGATTTTCCGCAGAAGCGAGCTCCTGGACATGCGCGGAACCCGTTTCACAGTCCTGCTCTCTGAGGTGGCAGTACGCAGAAGGCAATTTTTGGAAGGGTCTGTGCTCTGTTCACCCCTAAGCTGACAGAGCGGCGGAAGTTACGTGCTCGTTGCTCTTTCACCTCATGACCTCACTCTCAGGAATACCCATGTGCCGTGCGCGGGATCAGTTGGTGAAAAATAGGCGGTTGACTGGTCCGGCGAGCACATGACTCCCAGCGCACTGTCATGTTAGGGCGTGAACGGATATTCGCGACTCCAGCGACCTGTAGGAGTCGCCACCATCGGGCAAATATGGCGGTCTTAGACAGGTCGTGCCGTGCCATGTGTCAGCTCAACGCACAACGCTCGGCTTTCTACAGGCAAGCATATTGCCCCAAAATGGTTTGCCCCGATTTTTACTCGCAGCGTTTCAAACCGGCGGCGATGTGTTGGGGTAGCCGAGCTTCCACAGGTGTGACCTTCTTCGGGAAAGCGATGGAAGGACTGCGGTGCCGATGAACCTGGTTCACGCGGTAGCGTACATTGCGTTCAGAGCGACCTGGGAAACACACTGATAGGACAGTAACGACAAAGTCACGGAGACAACCGTTTCATTGCGCCAACCGCCGACACCATGTAACCATGGAAGCCAAAAGGGACGAGCAGCAGTTGCGAAAGAACCTGTTCCGTTCAGTCCACTGTTTTTTCACCACGTGCCGTCCCTTTTGCTGGAGTCGCGAATAGTGGTAAAGGGGCATCAGCCCTTCTAGCCACGAGACCTCATTGGCACAGGAGCGTGTGATAATGGTCGCGCTTCTCATTGGTCGTGTTACCTACAATCTCTGTTCCGGGCGCGTCACGGTATATTAGGGTGAACCCGAGAAATGCAGAGCGTGACGTATTATGTACACGCTTCTTGCTTGTGATTCGTTCTTGGGCGTCCCTGCAGGATAATGCCGCCTCCTCACTGACTGCAGAGCAGTAATAAGATGCTCGGAAGTCGCCTGCGTTTCTTAGCTTGTCAGTGTCAGTGACTCGGGGCCACTTACACACACCGTTCCAATCGACGCGGCATTTCAACGTACGCCTGTCGCTGCCGCAGTGGAGTGAGCTGCGAGACTACGCCGTGGAGTGAGTGGGGCGATTGCAGCGTCACCTGCGGCAAGGGCGTGCGCATCCGACAGCGCAAGTACAAGCAGCATATGGCGAGGAAGCGCTGCACGCTCGAGCTCATGGAGAAGGAGATGTGCGTCGCGCCCGTAATGACCTGCAAGGACGCGCCCGAAGTGGTAAGGAGGACGTCACTCCAGGGAGGGAACAAAGAATGTTTGCGCGCACCGGTTGCGGCTTCACAAAATGCCGTTAGCGCGTTTAAGTGAACCTATCCGTAGAGCAAGTCGTCTGCTTTTGTGCAGGGGTCGCGGTGGCATCGAAACGACACCAAGCTCCGATTGGTTTTGATTGAAAGAATTGTGGGTAGACCTCAAGGTTAGATGCCTTGAGGTCTACCCACTGTTGTTTTTTTCCTTCAATCAGCCAATAAGACTTTGGCGTACTGATATCCTTGAAACCCGATGTTCAAGAAGCAGACGAACTTACGCTCCGCATAGATAAGCCTGACCGGATTCATGTTAAAGGATTCAGAGTTCCCTGACCAAACTCTTCCTATTGACGAAAGGGCGAACAACGCAAACAAAGCAGCCACGAAAGTTCTTTGTAGCTGAAATGCACCAAAACGTCAACCAGAAATAGCTGCCCAACGTGTCCTCAGTGGCTATTCCTCATGTCGATTGTTTATCCTTCAAATCAGCTGAAACAGAATGTGGGCATGCACGCCAGGCATTAGAAATTGAGGTCAAATTCAAGCAATCTAAGCTCTATTCTTGGAATCTTTGAAAGCTGTAGATGCAGGTTGCTTTGATGCAGAAGGCATTTAATTAACGTTTCTAACTCTCTAGACAAGTGAACAAACTCTACTCAAAAACCAACCTAGATATATCATAAGGTCCTTTATGGTAGATGTCTGTCCTCCCTTTTTAAACCAGCTATTTCCTGTTTATAACCAGAATAAACAAACTCTTATGAATAGTTTTGTCAATTCATCTTGTTTGATGGTATATGTACCGATTACTTACTTAGTCAGCGCTGTGTGTCTGCTCCTTTCTTTCGTGGTAGTCTTTCATGGGCGATGTTTGCACCATTTGAAAGCATGCTCCAGCAACTAGCTAAAGCATCAATCTTAATTAGCAGGTGGTATCGATCTAACTAACTACTGTGCTTTCTTCCCAACAGATCGATCCGAACTGCGCGGTGACCCAGTGGGCCGAGTGGTCCCCGTGCACGGCGACATGCGGCAAGGGCATCAAGGTCCGCACGCGGGCCTACCTCAACGCTATGACGGCTGCCATGGCAATGTGCAACGTCGAGCAAATTCAGAAGGCACCCTGCATGGCAGAGAACGCCGACTGCAAGGTCGACAGCCAGGAAGCCCACGGTGAGCAGATTGGACTCGGTATTCGTTCCTAGAGCACCGGCTATATTTAAACCAACATACCTGGATCGGTGCCTCGGCCACGCCGGTAAGTGGTGCACTGCGAGAGCTGTCTGGTACAACAGAGTTCCGACCTTTGTGCTCTAGAGTTGAGTTCGAACAAGACATGACTTCCAGAGCAGACTTTACACGTGTTGTTGGTTGCAGTGATGCGAGTCGTCGAAAGAAATTGCCTTAGAATTGGCCCTGAGAACAATGGTCATAAGTCTGTTCCCCAATTGGAAATTAGAAACCGTTCCCGAAAATGACTAGTTACCATGAAAGAAAAAATTAATATATGTATATATATTTAAACGTATGCGTGAGCTACGGTAGTCAGAAAGTTGTCAATCTCTTTATGACTATGTAATCCAACGATAAAAGAAAATGTCTGGGGCTGGTAATAAACCTTCGTCTTAAAAGTGACTAACCATTCCAACAATTTCCTCCTGCATACTTTCACTTTCACGCTCCAAACGTGCATAATAACTCGCACGTACAACCGCAGCCCAGTAACTGGGCACAACTTACTCGAGTACTGGAAAGGCATGCGAGGAGTCTGAGTCAAGCTAGGAGTTTACCACGGTCAGTGTTGACTAAACCCCTAGTTGCTTCCGAGTGATGTCCAAGCTGCAAATGCAAGTTTGTAGTTTTGGTCCTGTCAACGTGCCTACAAAGTGGGCGCTTTCATGTACTGCAAACATGGTTGAAGTCAATATGTTCGCGCTTGTACATTTCACTTTCCTCTTGTAAGACGGAGTAAATAGTATATTTCCAATGATATAATACGAGTACAGACTCGGAGAGCACGTCCCAATAAAGAATGTCGCGTTATACATGTGTCACGTGACCTTTGACGTTCACTCCCGTCTGCGTTTCCAGAGATCTGCTTGCTGCCCAAGGACATCGGCCCGTGTCGCGGTTACTTCCCTCGCTGGTACTACGACTCCACCAAGCGCATGTGCCTGCAGTTCGTCTACGGCGGTTGCCGCGGCAACAGGAACCGATTCGAGAGATATTCGGAATGCAACAAGATGTGCGAAGTCACAATATCACGTGAGAGCACCCTCCCATCAGTCCTTTGTCGGGTTCGTTGCTTAGGTAGCTTGGGGGTTATTAGCGCAGCAGCGTCGGAGCCACGGAATGTTGCTTAGCTTGTTGCGTTGCTGGTTCGTGGCTTAACTTTTGAACCTTGTATGACTCTCCTAGACCCGCGCGTACAGCACCTTTTTCAAGTATTTTGGATTCGAAAGTTGTAGCACACTTTTTTCGCACAAAAAATGAATTAAAAGTTAACCGTACTTTAACGGAAAACACTCAGTCAAATATGCACATTACAATTTAACAAATCACGAAAGTCGTCGGGGTCCCTTGAATAAACTTGAAAAAGAACCGTCAACGTTTTATTAATCTTTGCTAGAAAATCATATCCCAGCCTTTTAACAAAACGTGCGTTCCAGCATAACTTGACAAAGTGTGAAAGTTACGGCTCCCGTACGCCAATCAGAGCAACAAAACGAAGCGCGTGACATCTCTATAGAGAAAAGTGCACTCAAGGGTCCACCGTCACGTGTCTCCTTCTGACGCTGTAATTAGCTCGCCGGTGCCGTAGCTCTTGCCGAATATGTCAAGTTATGCGCAAACAGAGTACAAGTGGTTCCTTCTCGGCAGTACTCCAGCAACCACTGTGAACAGCGCTTTTTCATGCATTTCTCGGGGAAACTTTATAGTTTCACTTAATTTCGATAATATTCTGTCAGTTGGTCTTCTGACGTCAAGATCTTCGACAAAGCTGTCAGTGAACTTTGGCATGCTATCTCTCTGCTGCTGTGCTCGATGTTCCGTGACAGTCACCAAACAATTGAAATACGATTCTTCACGCTTACTCCGTTTTATATGCTACGCTTTCTTGCCGGCTCACTGTTAAAGTTGTAACGCTTGCTTTTAGGAAATTGCTCAATTGCTCAGTGCTTCAGCGTGGCTTGCGTGCCGCTCACTCGCTTATTTGCTTCTGCCACGCCACGCTTTGTCGCAGACTTAGCTCAAGGAATCCTGTCGCCTTCGGCACTGGGACAAAGCTACGCCATGAAAGACACCACCCTGCACGTCGAAAAGGGCCTTGTCTGTGGTCTGTCGCCGAGCTGTCGCTTTTTATGCCTTTCACCTCTCCCATTACGTTTTTTGCGCCCGCAAGTGCTATACCGGCCTTCGTGTCTTATATAAACCACACTCTCTAAAACGTCTGCGCTTTCATTTTCCCGCTAAACACGGAGACAGCCAATCACGGTGAACGATAGAAGTATCCCGGCGAATGACGAAGCTTGGAGTACGGTTAGACCAAACAAAAAAGTGCGATGTGCTCAGGAACAACAAGCATGATGTTTTAACACGTAATCTGTTTTATCAGCCGAGTTTCACGAAGTTTTCTAACGTTTGACTGTAACAGCCGGCTGTAACCAAAAACCGACACCGAAAAGCGTTACGTCGATAGGAAACCATAAAAAGAGAAAAAGTACCAGGCAAAATTTGAATTTCCTATCTCGAGATTGAGACCCAAATGCTTTCTCAACTAATCTATCCAGTTTTTTTGTTTGTTTTTTCGGTAACAAGAACAGTGTTTGTTTGCAATATATTTACAAAGCGATTACACGCGCAGGCCTTTTTACACAATCCTTAAAATGTCTAAGGAGGTAACTCGAATGTTACACCTGTTTGAACACTTGTTCAGGCGATACATATATATGGAAAGACGTGGTAAATGTTCTGGTGCCAGCGGAGTTCTTCACAACAAGGCAGGCTGCTCGCGACGCCCTTAGCGCCGCACGCCTACGTACTCCCACACCATAGCCTCTTCTACACTGACGAAGTCTGGCAGATCGCCACGAGAAGCGGCCGGCGAAATCGAAAAGGTAGAGCGGCAGACAACGGATGAGAGGAGAGCCACGTGACGGGCGCCCCGCTGTGGCGAGACGCCAAAACACACTTCTCCCGAGCGATGGAATGTCCGCTCGGGCTGCTCACGTTCTTCGCGCTACCGCTTCTTTTCTCGTCGGGTTTGAAGACCACGTTTCGGGTTCTCGCCGCTGCAAAAGCTGCGCGCTGACGTCCAGGTTCCCCGAGAAGTGCTCTGTGCTACCAGATCCTCGAGCTCTAAATCTGCGACAGGGCAGTCTATGGCTTCGTCGTCGAAATGCCAAGCTTTGTAGGTATAGAGGAGGCTTTACCCAAACGGCACCATGTGCACCGCGTTCAGAAATAAAAAGGGGTCTTCCTCGCGCACTGCGCCCTCCGACTAACTGTCAGATACTGCTTGTAAGTGGTGGTCAGAGCACGCCAAAGCGAGGGGGCTCACTCGCGCAACTCGCGTACGTGCGGTCGCGAGCTTGGCGGCATTTCCTGTCATGCTGCGCCATCTCACGGCGTGTGTCAGAAATGAGAGCGAATCTTCGATAGGAGGTGCCGTTCAGACGACCTTCTCTTTTTACCTAGAAGGCCTATGACACATACTGTGCTTGTCTTGTTCTTTGCCATAATTGGCTGTCCCCGCGTGCTGCGAAAAAAAAAAAAAAAAAGAACTTGCGTATTTTTGTTTTTAAATGTGCCTCTGTCCATGTTTGATTAATCGAATTTTGAAACACGCTGCGACGCTTAAAGGAAAAACATTGTGTAAATATATTCTAGTGTTGTCTGAAACACTTCGTGAAATAGCTCCCATGTTTTCAACTAAAACCCTAGAGAATTTTTGATGCGCGGTCACTTTAACTCGTGATTACATCTTGATTATCATTGTCACTAAACATGGGAGGCACACTTTATCGCTTTCTGAAGTCTATAGTTGTTGGAACTTCGTCGTGCGTTCATGTTTAATTCATTGTGAATTATCCGAAATAACTTCGCACAATATCGTAGGGCGATCGGGAACCCAAACATAATCATTTTAGTAGTCTAAATAATCTAAAACCGACCCTTTCGGCAAAAGCAAGCGCAGAGACTAGTTTTCTTAAAAGGCTCGTTACTTGGAGATCTGTTTACTTTCCTGCAACATATGAGTTGTCAGCTTCTAAATAAAAAAAATGAAGCCGCTCTTTAAAGTTTGATAAAGTCAAATGTAATGCATGCTGTAGCTGATCGAAGTATGCACACACGCGCACGCACACGCACACACACAAACACACACGCACGCACGCATACACATGCCTGCACGCATGCAGACTGAAGCGCCTCGACCTATGTGCATGGTGGTGTATTTGAGCTGCTCATGTGTTCCTGTACCTAATTATAATTGTAATTATAGTTGAATAAATTCCTGTACCTAATTATAATTGAACCCAGGGGTCCTGGGTCAAATCTCCACCCTTGCCCGTTTCAATTCTGGACGACTATCGTACCGGCTTGCGGTCGTATATTAACACCGTCTGACGCACATTAAAGACCCCAGGCTGGTGGTGGTATACTGCGCTGGTCAAGTTTCTCGGCTAACTAACTTACCACCGTTTAATCCCCCCCCCCCCCCCCCCCCCCCTCATAGTACGCAGAACACGATCACTCTAGATTGTTGAAGGAGAGGGAACGAAGGGATAGTGGGGGGCAGAAGTTTTGAGTCGCGTTCGTACACCTCAGCTCTGCGTCCTCAAGAACATGATTAGATATGCTATTAGTATCGGGCCAACCGGCCGAGTCCGTTGGCTAACCGGGACGTTGGTGTGTGGACGGTTCCGCCAGCGCCCCTGAGCACGCTGACGAGCCTGCCTCCACACAACGGGCTGCCGACCACCAGCGACGAGCCCACGTCCCCCGTCATCGACTGCGTGCTCACGCCCTGGTCCCAGTGGGGGCCGTGCTCCAAGACGTGCGGCAACGGGCGCAGGGAACGCCGACGCATGATCAAGCTCAACCCGCAGAACGGAGGAAAGCCCTGTCCCAAAAAACTGGTCCAGCGGCGGAGGTGCAAGGAGAACCCGCCCTGCCGTGAGTATACGCGGCAAATCGCGGACGCCTTTGCGGTTGACGCGCGGTCCGCGAAAGATCGGTGTCCAAATCATGAGACATCAATTTTCCCGCCAAATCTAGCGGGGAAACTCAATTTGTCTATGCGGAGCGCAAGTTGGTCTGCTTTTTTTTGCAGGGGTTGTGCTGACGTCAGAACGACGAGCTCTTATTGGCTGATTAAAAAGAATAGTGGGTAGACCTCAAGGCAGCTTGCTTTGAGGCCTACCCACTATCCTTTCGATCACAGCCAATCAGAGATCGGCGTTTTGACGTCAACGCAACTCCTGCGCAAGAAGCAGACGACTTGCTCTCCGTATAGGTCACGTGACGTCGTGTGACGACACTTTCCCCGCTAAATTTCGCGGAGAAACTGAATTTGTGTATAAATGACGTGACGGAGTCATGTGAGGTCGTTTTCTCCACTAAATCTAGCGGGCAAACTGGATTGGTGTTGAGGTCACGGGACGTCGATTTTTCCGCCAAATCTAGCGAGGAAACTGGATTTTTGTAAAGGTCACGTGACATCAAGGCATGTGACGTCATTTTCTCCGCTAAATTTTGCGAGGAAAGTAAACTCCCAAAAAATACTTCAAAGTGCCTGAAAATCCTAAGAAAGCTAATCGCTTAATTTGTTTTTTGGATAAAGCAACAGTGTTTTTACGAAACCCGCTTGTTTTCGTAAATTATTCGTCGTTCCGTTTGTGTTTGCATTTGCCCGCTAACATTAGCGGGGAAATAGACGTCACGTGCTGTAAGAGATCACGTGACCCCCACGACTAGATGCCGAGGTCTCACGTCAAGAAACCACGTGACGTCAATTTCTCCCGCTAAATTTAACGTAGATATTAGGGAGTTTACGCAGATCGTTTTCGCCGTCCTGCGACGCTCTCGGCAACCTACTTCGATACCCGGAACTCTACCGTTAAGGTCATCAGCGCGCAGGCGCAGTAGCGCGGCTTCTTCGTTGCGGAGGGCGTAGCGGAGGTGGAAACGCGGTCTGCGAAAACTCCCTATCGACGTCACGTGACCTCATGGCATCATGTTATACCGTGACTTGACACCATGACACCGATTTAGCCCCCAAAATTTAACGTGGGAAACTGACTTCACCGATGGGTTGTCATATATGACGTCAGGTCATTCGACACCGTGGCGTCAGGGTTTCGGTCATGGTATCACGTGGTGCCATGACCTCTCGTGGCGTCAGGTAACGGGACGTCGATTTACCAGCTAAATTTAGCGGGGAAATTAAAGAAGAAACTATTGTCTTCACTTTCCAAACGACTGTTTAATGTCGTCTGATTCTATTAAAAATATCGCCCCTTGAATACTGCCATCCATGCAATATAGGACGACTTTGAAGATAAATATCGCTGGTAAGTCTTGATTCATCAGCATGTGGGTTTTCGCACGAAGGCCATTACAGGAGGGGTTGAAAAATATAATTAGGCAACGGCACCAAAAATTATCACTTGTAAGAAAAACTTAGACCATTTTACCTAAATTATCGCACGTAAAAGAACGAACAAAATAAGACATTAACCGATAGAATAATAAACATATCACACCAGGCACGTAGCCACGATTTTGTTTCGGGGGGGGGGGGGGGGGGGGGGGGGGGTGCCAGGCCCCATGGCTGCGTGCCTGTATCACACGAAGAACCTTTCTGCCTTGTTTTAACTCAACAATCGACTAAATTTCAAGATTTCCGGCGCTTGTTGATTGGTTACCATCAGATTTTTTTCCAAGGAGTGATGTAATCAATCAGCTAACCTGGTCATTATCCTTGTTTACACGCTGCTCAGTGGAAACAAAAGACTCCAGGAAAGGTACAGTCCGGCAACAACCTTGTAACTCATATTTCATTGCTATTGACGCACGCGCCTTTATCTGACATGCTATCAGGAAGAAAGGACCGAAACAAACGTAAGTGCAAACAATACTAATACGAGAGCCTTAAAAAATCATATATTTCTTACCTTCGGTTCTGCTATAACAACAAAGTCGTAGTAAACCACTACAACCTTGTAGGGCGTCACTACAACTTCAAAACTCCTTGAAGGAGATCTACTACAAAATGCAATGCAGAAATCATAAATAGTATACTGATGCTTCTGTACGCCTTTTCCCTCTCAGATGTATCGCTGGTAATTACAATTCGAATTCGTTTAAAACGTAAGAAATCATTTTCAGTTATTCGGCACAATGTCATCGCTTACAATACTTCGTTTTGCCTTACCTCGAAGCGCTGTCAGAGGAAGATACGCAAATGCATACGCACAAACTAAAAGCACGGAGACACTGCTCAATCTCTGCAGTCAAATGGACGAGCACGAACAGAAAAGCGGACTCTACCGTCTAGCCATAAGCTACCAATAAAACTGAATTAAGCAAGTGCCTAAAGGCGGCGAAAGCCGGGACGTTGCGCTTTCCTGCTGGATTGGCCGCTCGGCACGTCGCGTCGGCTGCGCTATGATTTAACACGAGACCAAGAACAGCTAGTAAATACAAAATCTTGGCAGCCTCGTTGTATCGCCTATAAAGATGAGGACGTGTCAAATTGAGTTTTGTGTGTGTGTGTGTGTGTGTGTGTGTGTGTGTGTGTGTGTGTGCGCGTGTGTGTGTGTGTGTTTAAGCCATGTGAGGCACAGATATATTCTTTTAACGCTGCACCCCGTTCCAGCGGTGGACTGCATGTTGACCCCGTGGAGTGAGTGGCGGCCCTGCTCGAAGACCTGCGGGGTGGGCGCCGTTCAAGAGCGGCACCGGACCATCAAGCGGCACCCCAAGAACGGCGGCTCCACGTGCGACGCCACCTTCGAGCGACGCTACTGCACCCTCCCGCCCTGCGATTACCATCGCTAGGTGGCGCTCATCCGCACGTCATCGCGGTAGCCTCGGTAACTATCGGTTCATGCTCTGAATTGTAGTCGTATGGTGTGGAAAGGGGTGAGAGTACATATTGACGAGGAGATCGAACTATAAGGGGCACTTTGTCTATTCCTACAAAGCTCGGTGTTTACTCAAAACAAGGCCCGTGGATCGGATTATTTACGTCACCTAACTCCACCGAGCCCGGGGCAAACGTCTGTCACGAGTGCGGCGTCAGCCTTCGCCTAAGACTCTTCTTATATTTTCTCGGTGTTCCACTGATGAAAGACGAGCGTCAGCCGAACGATGACGCAGCTTTCGGCTACACCAGCTGAGCGCTGCGTCAGAGACGCGAACACATATTTCATGCTGCCGTTGTCCCCATGGGTTTAGTTCTCAACCGAGCCCCTGGGCACGACGGCTCAGTCTACTTAGTAGAATAAAGTGCACGGAAAATCATCGGAGGGAAAACCTACTTTGTAATGAAAGGTATAACTCTAGCTGCAGCTAACATCTCATGCTTGTTTCTAGCACGAAATCAAACTGTCCTTTGCAAGGTCATGTGTTAATCAGACAGTGTAACCACTCTGTGCACACCGTCTCCCGTCATGTCTTAGAGCGCAGCTCTTAAGGCTGAACTGCATGGGACGAATATGCTGCGAATAACCGACGAATTTTGCCCGGCGGTTTTTGCTCTGCGTGGAATGAACACAGTGGCTGCTACGTCGCGCACAAAGCGAGCGTGCCGTCGGGCGTCATTCGCTAGTTATTCGTCACATGATTCGTTCCATAGAGTTCAGCTTTTAGGCGCCCGTTTCCGGCTTGAGCGGCGTTGCCGTCGCCGTCGGCGTAACCGCGCGGTGCATTATGGATAAATTTCTCCACTAAATCTAGCGGAAAACTTTCCCCGCTCAATTTAACCGAAAAATTTCCCCCCTAAATCTAGCAGCAAAATTTCTCACCTGACCCCCCCCCCTCCCCCCCCCCCCCCCCGAGGTAACGTGACCCCACCAAGGTCACGCGACTCCTCCCCAGGTCACGTGACCCCCCCCCCCCAAGAACACATGACCCTCAGTACCCTTCCCTCCTCCTCCTCAAGAGCTGCGCTCTAATTCGGCGTTACAGAAAGTTGTAAACGGCTTGCACTTTTTTTTTTTTTTTTTTGGGGGGGGGGGGGATTTTCGGGGCTACACCAAACCCACCAGCCCACGATTCTGCGAGGATCATGAGCGCATCAGGCCGCACCGGCGTGCCTTGCATGCCAGCTAGGGCTGTTGCTAAATTGCCGCAATGCGGAGTAGCTTGTATCATGTACCTTTACTGCTGGTGGCCCGTCCTTAGGTCATCAGCGGAGTTGTGGACGACATTTCGTATAATATAAATATTTCTGCCCTGGAGAGTGAGCATATGAAGTATAGTGTTCACCAAACGTATTCAGAAAACCGGAACTGTGTGTTTTCTCATGGCAGTACTATTCTGGGGGAAGCTCAACAACGGCTCCTTGGCGCAGCACTTTGAGATGGCTTGTTGAACGCTACATAGCAAAATTGCTGTCAGCTACTGACAGGATAGCGCTTCCATTGGGAAGAGCCTAGTTTGTGTGTTCCGTATAAGGTTGGTGAGGACTCTGCAAAGCGAATTGTGTTGCCTCTTGAGCTGTTCTTGAAGATTTCTGTTAAGATTTCGCAAACAATCATTACTGTGCTGTTTTCGAGCTGTACTCGGATATTTGCGGTGTCCTTTAGTACTGCACTCTCATGATTCCGGAAGTCTCACACTGAGGTTGCACGTAAGCTATGATGGAAACGCCAAGAAATGACTGACTGTGTTTGTTTGTTTGTTGTTTTCGATACAGGGCCACACGAGTCCAAACGGGAAGGGTACCTGAGGACGTTACCGCTACATCGACCAATGACAACACGGCAAACACGACACCCACATATCGCCAAGACCTTCTCTGCTTCAGACCCTGCAACAAGCTACTGCTGCTACTTACTACTAGTGCCGCTGCTGCTGCCTGTATCACTGCTGCTACCAAGCTTCTCTCAGATTCAGTCGCCCCTTGAAGATGCATCTCTTAACGCTGGTTAGCGGACAAAGAATATCACGTGACGGTGCTGATTACCGTTATTGGTATCATTCTTTCTTGCTAGTACAAGCAACAAAAAGAGACGCTCTCCTGCTTCCTGGCATAGCAAGACGTACAAGACGACGTGGTTCCGTAGAATGAAAACTGCTTATAGTTGCTAATCCCCGTTGCGAGGAACTGAATCGTCTGCTACGCCTCGATGGCGCCCTCCGCATAGCCTCGCACTCTGAACGCCTACACTTAGTGATCTAGATTGCCGATGCTGGTGTATTGGTAAACACAAACCCACGCTTTCTTCTTTTAAGCAGACCCAGTTCAAGTGTTGAGCGTATTCGGCTTGGCAAAAGCCCGGTGAAACCTTTATTACAATGTAATATTGAGGTTGTATTTTTTTTTTTTTTTTTTGTCCAGCAAGCAACTTCAAACGTCAAAGTAACCCTGGGCTCCCATTTTGTACATTCTGTTTTTACCAAGCGAATTTATTTTATAATTCAATCTACGCACACCAACAGAAAGAAACGTAATTGACCAAAGGTATAATAGCTAGTGAAAGCAGCCTTTCTTAGTTGAAATCCTTACCGCCTAGTTCTCGAATGAAGGCATTTTAGCAGACTGTTCAGTTGTCTTGCCGAAATCCCAGCGTTATCACGTACTGCTAGCTTGGAGTTGTGTCCGTTGGAAATGTGTAGGAAACACACTCAAGCCGACAACGCAAGCAAAAGCCCTCAACCAGGTGTACACATGTCTTCCGAAGCGCGTCTTTGTGCCTCCGTTGCTTTCAACGGTGTGCATGTTATCGGTGAGCTGCAGATCTGCACAAAATCTGAGGTCTGTACTATGTGCTCTCGTTTTTGTATGTTCCTGTGTGTGTTCTTGTGTAATCGAGATATTAACGAGGCGGTGCCTTTCACAATCTACAGTCGCTCTCTTATTTTATTCACCACCGGCGACGCTGTGGCTACGATGGCTGACCCCCGAAAGACTTTAGAGCGGCTAAATCCTCCCATAACCCTCATCTCAGACCGACACCAGGGGATGGTATTTCGCAGCAAACATTTTGGTAATCGTCTGCGTACCGTGCTGACATCTAGTGGTTGGCGAACGTTAACATGTGAAGAAGTTTGATTTCCCGTTCTGTTGTGGGAACTGTAAACTTATTATTAGTCATTCTTCTTAGTTTTTCTATTCGTTAGTAGCACTTTAACAATCCAGATCTAGAGTATTCGATTGACTAGTTGCAAGTACGAGGGAAGCCAATATGTCACCGGTGTGGTGCCATGGCTATCATTTGCAAATAAACATTTAAATTATCATTTGATTTTTTTGGTTTTGTTACAGGCATCTAAACAATGCGAATTTACTGTTCAAAGTTCGCCATCCACCCTCAAACTTGTCACAGTCAGACTAGGTTGCGAAACTAACTCCTTGCCGATCCCTTGCTAAAACATCGTCGTTTTTAGAATAGATGACAAGTGCTTCCTTCCACAGCATGTATCTATACTCTCCATCATGTGTTGCCTGCACCAGCGAAGAGAGCGGAGCTCCAGATCTGTCTTTGCAACGACGGCACAGAGTTCTCTTGTCGAGACATCACGGGCTAAGGCATACTGACCAGCCAGGAAAAAAAAATGCAAAGGTACACTGAGAAACACAGTTGCCCTCAACGTGCGAAGATAGTCGGTTTCCCCGCGTAGTTGCTCCATTGAGTCCATCCTTTATGCATCAATAACGAGAAGCGACAAACAGGCTTCCTAATTTCACTGTTAAGAGACTCCCCAGACGTGAGTTTGAAACTGCTGGTGTAAAAAGAAAAAAGCGCTAATGTACGCGTACGTTTCTTGTTAACTGGTGACGTATAGAAATTCACGAGTAAATCACAGTAACTAAGATTCTGACTTCTCAGATTGGTCGCAAGTTAGAGAAATTGAGGGGCTTCACAAGATATTGACTCGGCTAAGAATCTTGACGGTTATCATCTGCTTCTTCTCAAGACTCAAGTACAGCGTTATAAAGGGTATGGTGAGCGAGCGGGCGCCTTGGGCGAGTTTTTCTATCGCCCAAATATTTAGCACGCAGAAACATATTAAAGACCCACATTCTCGCGAGTGTGCGTTTGATAGCGCCGTACACAATGTGTGAGTAGAGCCTCTGAATTAGTAGGTTTAGAGTAACGGCACCTCATTCCTTGATTTTCTTGTGGGCGCCGCCATTTTGGTGAGTAGTGCAAACTGGATTGGATTTGGATTGGATTTGTTGGCTTTGCGAGCAATACTGACGACCGTTACAATTCGAAAATGCGGCCTCCTGAGCCATGGTTACGGCGTGAGAAAAGTCGGGCGATATCGTTGCTCTGTCGCGGACTCTCTTAACATTTCTGTAGGACGGAAAGGCGTTTCCTGTGATTTTACAAAGAGCTTTAAACACCTGACAACAATGATTTCATGCCGCGAGAGGGCTGACCTCTTAAGTATCGTACTTTGAAGCGTAGTTTATTTTGTGCCTCTAAAATAACCATTCAGTTATTTTTAAAACCTCTTTACACCTTAGCTATAGTGCCCTCGGACGCAGCGTCGAGGGGGTCCTTGATTTAACACTGGTGTGCGTAACACGCGACACGGGAGCATAGTTAGAACCTTGTTTATTGTGCATCGTTGTAACGTTAGTGGAATCGTGCGTGTAGCACGCAAGCGTTGTCTTTTCAGTACGTATGTTGCGTGTGCGTGCATGTGTTATTTGTTTTCGAGTGTCTTGAAACTTGCGTTATACGTTTGAGAAATGAAGTTTGCTACGTGGCTCACTGAGTGTGCCATCTCATACCACAACCAGTGGGAACTACAAGGTCACAGTTGCGATCCGATCGAGTGATTTTGTTCTGGGTTAGGGAGGAACCATTCTCCAAATTGTAAGACGTCAACGTGACGGGGGGGGGGGGGGGGGGGGGGGGGGGAAGCAAGATTTAGAGACACTTAAAAGTTGTTTCAAAATGTAACCCAGACCCACACCCGAACCCAGACCAAGAATCTGTCCCATGGACTCTGAACGTTCACTAAACAATGCTTTTGACCGTACACTTCCTGTGCAAAATTAAACCCTTTTAGGGCGTTACTCCGATCACGAGCTCCAAGGATGAAAAAAAAAATTCAGAAATTATTAGTATTTGCCTCCTGTTGTCTCATATACTCTATCTAGGCTTTAAAGCATACTTTCTCTCTTCTGCTCTGAGGCGAGCTCAGGCGCGGAGTCAGAAAAGCAATGGAGCAAGGCAATTGATTGTTCGACGCCCGACCAGGCTTCGGCCAATCGTAAGCGCGGTTTAGACCAACCTCGCTCTTCCGTTACTGCCTTCAGAGTTCTAATTCGCCATTGCCGCCTGGTCCCCCACGCGAAAAGAATATTTGCCCATGTTCTCAGTCTCGTTTGATTCATCCTCTTAACCACTTTTAGCAATGCGTAAAAAAAAATTACTAGGAGAATACATTTTACTTCCCGGAAATTCAAAGGCCTTGGCGCGGGCAGGCTTTGCGTAGTTCGAACGGCTGGATGCGCCGCAGTCTCGGGGTTGTTGCTCTCAATTGGGAGGGGTGGCTACCGCCATCTATCGTCGGGGTCATCTTAAGCGCCAGTCGAGGCAGCCGTCCTGTCTGTCTTGGCGATCCCGGTGTCTCGGTGCGCCGGCGGTCGCCCTCTCCGCCGGCTCCGCGGACCTGCGCCACAGCGCAATGAGCACGCGTTCTCTTGGACGCGAGTCACTCACGCAGTGCGCTATCTAATACAAATGAATGGAGTGGAATGTATTCTCTCTAGTAAAGAATTTTAATGAATCGTTGATCGCGTCTTTTCTGGGCTGCCTTCATGTGCGCTTTGCTTAGGTTGATGACACCTAACAATTTTGTTCCGAACGCTTATCTTCCTTGTTCTGAAGCGCGTGAAAAAGAGTCTCCTTGCACGCCCTCTTGGCCTTGAATGTGCTACAGGGATATTTTGTATGGGGGGATCTCTTTTTTTTCCTGAGCGCGTGCTGCCGGCATCTGGTACTACAAAGGATGTCATCACCCTAAACAGAAGGACATTGAGGTACCCTAGCCTTTGTATAAAGGCGAAAACAGAAATTATAAGAATCTGGATTTGGCTTCAAGGCGTGCATCACGTACACAAAAGTTAAAAAGGCAACATTTTTCACACCTAGCGCCATCATAATTACATTTGCATATGGGAACTGTATCGTTTTCAGTAAGATCCAATATGGTGGCCAAAGTTTCTTCTTCATCAAAATCAACACAAAACAAAGAAACAAACAACAACAAAAAAGAACAGCACTACCCGCCGAAACCGAAACGTCTACGAACATTTGTGTGACGTCATAGATGTCCTCTGCGCGGGCGACTAATAAACAAAATTACGTCACGTCAAAAAAATATTTTTTTTTCTTGCCGCAGTCGCGCGCGGCGCCATCGTTCACGATAGATTAAATGACTGGTCAATTTATTTCCAGAGCAAAAAGTTAATCTGACCTGGATCAGTAAAGCTAGAACGCCTCTGGTACGGATTTAGACTTGCGATTCTACTCCCAATTAGTGAACCACTTCCAAAAGCCGCGTTGATTATCCGAAGCCACCAAGGCCACTATACTTTGGGCATTCACTTTGAGCACGCATTCAACACCAGTGTTTTATCAGCGTACGGCGAGAAATCGGACCCACACACACGCTTCGTGCAGCAAACGATGCCCAAATATACGGTGGTAACCTGTGTTGCTTGATGAACTTTTTTTTAATGGTGTCTTGGGTTCTTTTAGAAGCTTCGGAGTTCGACGGCGTGATGTGATCAATGACACGTGCGTGTTTTCAAGACGCGCCCGTTTCGCAGCTAGAACTGCAACGAAAACCTCGATCTGTCATTTAATTTGGATTGGCACACGTGAAAAGTGACTCCGTAGTAACGCCTCTTTCCCTACCGACGTACTTGTTGCTATAGGCGAAGCTACTGTACAGTTAGATCACTGTTATTCAGATGCAATATTTCATAAATAAAGCAACCTCTTCAGAAAATCGAAACGTGAGTGTCTCAATTCAACTAGAACCACACAGCTGAATTAATAATAATAATAATAATAATAATAATACATTTATTGACCCATTCAGACGAGAGAAGCAGGATGTGAATACGGGTACATCAAAGCCAATAAAGGCTTGTGTGATGACACCCTAAAAAAAAGGACATATGTGTCTGCCTAGGTACAAAATAAAGTAAAATTCACACACAAAAGTTTTTTTTAAACTAGCACACAACTAGCATCTCACAAACAGTCTATACACACATCCTGAAAAGTCAGTTAACTAGTGTCCAAGTTTAAGCACTTGAGTTCTCGTTTCAGCGTCTTCAGTGATGTCACTTGGTAAACAGAGTCCGGGAGGGCGTTGAACAGAAACGGGACATAGTACTCCCGCATACATTTGCCATATCGAGTGGAACAGAGCTTCACTTCGAAACGAGAGGTGCGACGCAATGTGCGGGATGGAATAACTGGTCTTTTGAAATCGCTATTCCAAAAGTACCGACGCACAACAGTCTGAATAAACAGAGAACGAAAATTAGGGAGTTTAAGGCTTTTAAAGATGTCAGCGCTGTTAGACAGATCCGTATTATATGCAACGCTTGTTAATATACCTTTAAGTAAAATATTAATTTTCCCTTGCCACCGTCCTGAACAGTTACCGAACACCGTTACACCATAACGGAGTAAACTGTAAGCAAGTGCGTGTACAATAAGAAATCGAATACCGACAGGCAGAAAAACTCGACTGTTAAAAAGCATACAGGCAATAGATCGCAGTTTACCACAAAGGTAGGACATGTGTGAATTCCATGACATATCATAATCAAAATATACGCCAAGGTATTTTACATGGTCAATTGATTCGATGGATACACAATTACAGGGATTACAGCTTGATGCATGGAGAAAGAACTGCATATTACCCTGATGTTTCTTTAGGGGGTTGTGGAAACAGACAAGTTTTGTTTTAGAACTGTTAATATCTGGAAGGCTGTTCGTAAACCAATCCATTAAATGCGTGGAGTTGGCCTGGAGTATTTTGAGCGAATCAGAGAAATTATTATGACGGGCGACAAGGAGGGTATCGTCGGCATATTGATAAATTTTGCATCCATTTATAACACGGGCCATATCGTTCACAAAAATATTAAAGAGCAACGGTGAAAGAATAGAACCCTGGGGGACTCCCGCCTTTAAAGAAATAAGGGAGCTTTTAAAGTCTCCGATTACTACACGTTGAGCACGATCAGATAGGAAGCTTTCTAGTAACGAAAAAAACGGACCGCAAAACCCTAAATTCTGCAATTTTGTTAGAAGCAATTGATGGCTAACAGTATCAAAGGCTTTAGATACATCAAGAAATAGAGCACAAGCGAACATATTTTTTTCAAATGTTGAGTGCAAATAATCAGAGAAGTCATCCAGAGCTAGTTGGGTTCCTCGTCCAGCGATAAAGCCGTACTGAGTTGACGTAAAGATATCATGCTTATTAATAAAACTGCTCATCGACTGAAATATGTGTTTTTCAAGTAATTGTCCTATAATTGGCAATATAGATATAGGGCGATAGTTTTCAACTTTAGATCGTATTCCTCCTTTGAAAAGAGGTCTTACCATGGCCACTTTGAGGCCAGTGGGTATGGTACCACATATGATGAAGCCATTTAGCATAACTAAAAGAACATTCTTAATCTTCGTGAAGTTTCTTTGGAGGTCATAAGTGCGAATATATACCATCAACGCCGGGTGACTTGGTAGTTTTGAAACCGAACAGTGGAGAATAAAGATCTGTGTCCTCTATTGTGGGAAGAAACGCTGATGTTAATGATGTGTTATGCAAAGTGCAAGAGTGGTCATGATTGTTTCGGCTCACACCAGAGTACGTAGCAAAGAAGTTGTTGAACGCTTCAGCTAAGGATGATGACAGTGCACCGAATTTTTTTTCGATAGTTTGGTCAATAGATTGTGTAGTACCAGTGCATCGGAATTGATTAATTAATGACGATGTTTTAAAGGAGCTACGCTTGGCCTCTTCAAATTTTGATTTGAAATACTGTCTTTTTGCGCAGCGAATAATCGCGTTCACTTTGTTTCTAGCTTGCCTAAATTCATTCCTCAGGTTTAGGTTATTTGGAGATTTTCGACACCGACTCCACAAGATATCCTTTTCTTTAATTTTTTCCAGGATACTAAAGTTGAGCCATTTGTGTTGTAGTCTGCGCTTTTTTCAAAATAACAGTACGTTTAGCAGCTTCAGTTAAAGAGTTAAAGACCTGCACAAACCGTGGATAAATATTATCGTTGTTGACAGAGCCCAGGAAGCCATCCCAGTCATATGAGGCAATTGATTTGTCAAGCGATACAATATCAATGATTTTGACCTGTTTAGAAATTTTAGGTTCAGGAGCTGACACTGAGTTGTGTATTACTCGACAACCAACAAAGTAGTGATCTGCAAGTTTGGAATGAATCACAGCGCTATCCACCCGGGAGCTTGGCGCTCGTATACATATATGGTCGATACAGGAAGAGACTAGTTTAGTGCCTAAGAGTTCTTCTCTCGTTGGGGCAGTAATTACACATTCTAAACCAGAGGTGGACAAAATGTTTAAGTAGTCACATACGATGGTATTACTTGCGTTTAGTGCATCTATATTGAAATCACCCACTAAACAAAGGTGAGGAATACACGATAAGGTTGAGAGAGTCAGTTCTAGCTCACTCAGAAATAACCTAGCGCTTTCTGAAGGAGGCCTATAGAAACACAATAGAGAGAGTGAAAGAGTGGAATAATCTAGTTTGAGGGCCAAGGATTCGCGTGAGAAAATACTAAATCTAGGGTAGAGACTTGCCATCTTTGGTGCACATAAGCTACAATGCCACCTCCACTGCGGGTTGGTCTTAGAGAAAAAAAAGTATTGTAATTTTTGATGGTGTATTGGCTAAGCATAGATTCAGGAATATTAGTTTCAGTGAAAATAAAAGCATCGACGTAAGACATCAAATCCCGAGCAATTAATAGGAAATAATCCCAGTGTTTGCGGAGGCTCCGAATGTTAACATGCAAACAGACAAAAGTTGCTCCCTTCGGTTTTACTAATTATGTATGAAATGCCGTTAAGTTATTAACAGTTGAAAAGTTAGCGTTCATGGTCTAAACGATCTTTTCAATGTCCGCCACGGAATTAATCCGTAACAGAGGCGATCCTTCAGCTTTCCTTGCGTAGATTTGTGCATTTTTTGTCCACATGTACCTGTAGTGCATCTCCTTTCCCCTGCTTCTTGCAATCCAGAACAGCTCACGGTTAGCACGGGTGAGGTTATCGTTGAAAAACAGCTTGGGAAGAGCGCCGTCACGGTTGTGGTCTCTCAGTCGTCCACGACAACCTATCCACTGCTCCTTTAGATCGACCGAAGCAAAGCTTACCAGGAGCGGAGGGACACCATCAGGCCTGTCCTTCTTGTTGGGCAGACGCCGGATGGAAAGGACGTCGGATGTTCGAAACTGAGGGAGGCCGATCTTGGAGGCTAGGTCACAAAGACCCTTGCCCAGGTTTTCGTTTGGAGTGAATGGTATTCCCTGGATCTCCATATTCGGTAACCGGTCCTATTGGTCACGATCATTTAGCTCAGCTTTAAGCTGGAGGATGGTGTTGACCTGCTCTCTAATGGTAGCCTGTAGCGCTCCGATTTCGCCACTCATTCCCTCTGACGCTTCTTTTTGAGCCTTCCCTTACGAAAATCTGTAATTAAATTCTTTTGAATTTTTGTTGAAAATTTTCTGGAGTCCTATTGAATTTCTTTTTAAACTTTTTTGATGTTTTTTAGACTTTGTTTTGACAACTTATTTAACTCCTAGTTAAAATTGGCCACGTAAATTTTTTAGAATTCCTTCTTACATACATTCTTTTGAATTCCTTCTTACATCAATTATGTTGAATTCCTTTTGACAAAACGGCAGATCAACGTTTAAAAAAAACACTAAATTTTTTAATATATTTCTTAATTTCGTTAGGAAATAGTGCCTTTGTGATACATACACATCCCACAAATAAGCAATGCAAACAAACACAAACACCATCAAGCACTCAACACCAGAAACACAGTCCTGTTGACAGCACCAGAGCCTTATATAGCCTACATATTGAAAGTAATCATTTGGCCGGTGACCACCTCAGCACTTACTAAGTTTCCAAGTCTCCGGTCTCCTTCTCGAAACTCTGTCAAAGGAAAGACAGTGTTTCGAAGTTCGTGGACACTATCTCTTACTAAAAAGCATTGGTACAACTAATAATAATTTCGTGTAGTCGCTAAAACAACATCCACAAAAACGGCTCATAGAACAAATGTTTATTGCTTCTCTGCATAGCACCACTCGGGACGAAGCCAGTCAAGGCGGTTGCTCCACTTTAAAATAGTTATTTTGCTCTTCTTTACTAGTTGAATAGGGTCAATAATGCAACGATTGTCATTTACAAAGTAAGAACGGCAGGGCGTGTTTTTCGAACGCCTGCCCTCCAGCACGCGCCCCATGCCTTCCGTCGTGCTTTGACTGCGCAGTCGAGCTCGAGGGGCAAGAGTTGTCAAGGATAGAAGGCTCGCGCTGGAGGCAGGAGAACGGAAGCTCCTACCTGTGGTTCTCAACTTGTCAGAGACTATTGAGAAACTTAGTGACTTTTGACATTTAGTCAAGATGTATTATTTTCAATAAAAAGTCAACAGAAAGTCTGTAGCTTTTCTTTTGACACTGGCTACAGAAAGTCAACTGAATAATTTAAACACGACGTAAATAGAACGTCTGCAGTATTTCTGATAACACTTTCAACAGGAAGTCAACAGAAAAAAGATCCAACGTAGAGTTAATAGAAAGTCAATAGAAAATCATAAAAAAAAGTTTCAACACAAAATCAACAAACTTTTTGTTGACCATGTCAACAGGAAGTCAGTCGAAATAAAGTAATCAAAGTGAACATGAAGTCAACACATTTTCAATAAAAA